CCTGGAGCAGTATGGTAGGGCTGCAGCCAGCATTCCCACTCTGCAGAGGAATAGCATGCATGTCAGGGTTAGGGTGTGCCCTGTGGGTGAAGTCCTCTGTTCTCAGAGCAAAGTCAGGCCATGGTCTCCAAGGCTGGCCCCATGGTTCCTTGACTGCACAAACACCTGTACACCAGAGAACAGAAGGATACCAGACAGATTTCACACAGGCCGAGCAGCTAACCCACTGCAGCAACCCTTGTGGTCACCTCTGACAGGCTGGATTTGAGGTAGAAACCCAGAAACAAGCAGCTCCAGAATCTCTTCCCTAGCCCCTCACCAAGCTGCAGCTCCTGGGATGGCAACATCACCCTATGTCTGAGAGCCATTCTAGCCTCCCTGTCAGCTGTCCTCCCACTACCCTGCTCTCCAGAATCACATAGGGCTTGCGGGCCACTTGGGAACACGTGCCGAAGGAGGTGCCCGCCTGCATGGCAGGCGCAGCCAAGCAGCACAAAGGAAAAGACTGTCTTCAGCTGGGACCACTGAGTGCTTGTGCTGGGGAGGAAGGCAACAAAGCAGTCAAGGCCTGCTTTGCTGAGGAAGCATCCAAAGGCTGGCACATGCTCCTCTGGCCCTCTCTTCCCATAGTTTGTGCGCCTGCTTCTGAATCTAGGCCAGAGGTCCCGGAATCTGCCCAGCCTCAGCACACAAGGCTGGGACAGCTCCCTTCTGAGGACAAACAGTACCACCCAGTGGCAACAGCGAGCACACCTCAGCTACTCCTGATCACTGTAAGTGCAAGACGTGGGGGCAAGGGTGGGGGCAGGTTTTGAATGCGTCAAAGGGATGAAGGACAGAGGAATGGACGAACGCACAAAGAAAAGCAGTCTCCAGTAACTGCAGCTGCTGTCACATGCTCTTGCCACCTCAGGGCCCCATGCCCTCTCACGTCCAACCCTGAAAACCTGGCCTCTCACAAATGCAGCACAAAGAGAAAAGCCATCCTCTGGCCATGTGCTTCAAACATGTGATCCAGCCACACTGGTAAGAAAAGGGGGCACTCAGTCTGCACTGAGAATGGTGTTCCACTCAGTCTGCACTGATACTGCCAGACAGCTGCATGTCGGGGGTACTCTGTAAGCAGCCCAAGGCTTCAGTCCTGCTCAGGTCAGTTGAAAGGAACACACCAAATCTAGGATGAAACGCCCCTCCTCCGCTCAGCGCTCTCCCCAAGTCAGTAGGAAACTCCCCTTCTCGGAACAGGCTGCCCAGAGCTCCCTGGCAATATCTCTGGCATGTTACTGATCGGATTCCTAGAGAAAGGTAAAGCCTCAAGCAGACATCCTACCGTACCCAGCCCACACATTCACAGGCTGTCTGACAAACAAGCTGGCCAGAGCAGAAAGGGCACCACAAAGAGACTCCTTGGATCTATATTCCTTCCCTAGCAGGAGGAAGGGAATACAAATGGCTTCTAGCAGACTCAACAACACAAATGCTATGCCCACACTGGAAGCCAAATCCATGGCAGCAAACCGCCTGGAGAAATGCTCCAACAGGCTGGCTTTAGGGGAACTGTCTCAGCCCTGACAAAAAGTCGCAAACGGGGGCATCATCATTGGCCATTCCCATTGAGCTCTCCACTTCCCAATCCCTGTGAAAGCCCCAGAGAAGCCCCACTTTCTTATCTTCCATTTGCACCTTCCCAACCCCATTAGCAGCTGCACCACCAAGCAGTGCCAGGGGATGGATGGTAACAACACTCCTTAAACACGAGAAGCACTAGGTCCCCAACTCAAACCAGGAACAGCTCCCAGAGGGAAGCCAAAATGCTGGAGTATTTAGCAACAAGAAAGGAAAACAGCTCCAGTGAAACTCCACTGCATTCCAGGCATGTGACACCAAGCCAGCTGCCCTGTCCCGCAGTACTCACGTCGCTGGGGCTGAGGTTCCCAAGCCCATTGTCCTGTTCAGAATCCCTGCCAGATTCATGGCCCTGGGAGGAGCGGGGGTGGGAGGGGTGGATCCAAATCTCCAGCCGCGTGGCGTCGTCCCCAACTTGTCGGAACGTGGACCTCTTGCTCTTCCCCTTCTGGCTGGGGCTCAGCTCCAACACCTGATGTTTTTTCTGCTCCATCTGCTCAGCCTGCGCAGACAGGGCACATGCACTCAGAGCCCTTGGGATCAAGGCTCAGGAAACGCAATGGCGTTCCATTTACAGGGGCAGAAGAACCAGCCACTCCCCAACTTTGCAAAACCCAGTAGTTCACCACCTGCTTTAGGGCCTGGCTTCTGGTGCTGAAGGCTGGCAGGAGTGAGGGAAGCCAGAAGGACTGCCCTGGAGTGAAACTGCTAGATTCCAAAAGAATTGGTGCTTGGTAATTCCCTGCAATGCCAACATGTCATAACCTGGGGCAGGGCAGGGGAGGGCAGGGATCTGCATAGCCCATCCAAACATGACCGTCTGGAGAAGCTTGTTACCATAAATCGAGCAGCACAGGGCTGGGGGGGAGGCTTTAACGAGGCAGGTCCCGGAACAATTTCCTGTCGCTGCTAAGTTCAGCTGTGCTTTAACATGCTCCCCAGAAGGGAGCTGCTACACAGCTCAGCAGGGACCCTGCAACCTGCTCTGGGTGACAGACAGGGAAAGAGACCTCACTTTGGCAGCTGCAACTTCTCTTCCACCTCCACAACCAGGTTCTTCAAACCTGTGCTAGGGCCAATACCGAGTCTGACAGGTGTCACTCCCACCCCACCCCACCCCAGAGAAGCACACTCAAGTGTGGGGTGAACTCAGAACCTCAGCAGCGAGCCCCAACACCTATAGTGCCAGACAGCCCCTGACTGAGGAGGGGAGAGCATCCCAAGACTCACCTTGCGCTTTGTCTCCTCAAACAGGCTCATGAGACTCTCCTTGGCTGTGAGAATGGGGTTGCTGGCGGCCAGGCTGCGCATGTAATAGTACACAGCATCCAGCTTCCTCCTCTGCAGGGACACAAGCATGCTCAGAGCCCAGGCCCCCTGGAACCCGTGGGCTGAACCCACCCCCTGGCAGGCCAACCCCCAAGCCACCCAGGGCACTTGCCCACACAAATCAACGCCTGCTTCCCAAGCATGTCCCAGACCCAAACACTCCAAAACCATTTGCAGTAATCTACAGCTCCCAGCACAAGTCCATACCCACAGACACCTTGAGGATGCACGCCGAGCATCTGAGTACAGCCCACAGATGCAGTGAACAAGCCTGACCAGTTGGTGACCAAAGGTCCCATACCTGAAAGCCCCAGCTCGGGCTGCAGCTCATGCATCTAGGCTCCCTCTGGTATCCATGTTTCCCCCTCCCCCTGGGATCTGAGTATCTCACAACCTTTGGTGTCTATTCTTTCAGCACTCTCATGAGGCAGACAGATGCTGTTACCTCCAACTTACAGGTGAGAACAAAGGGTCAGAGTCTAAAGGACTCACCCAAGGTCCCAGCCAGCATCGGTGTCAGAGCAGCGAACTGACCTTAGGTCATCCAGTTCCCTAGCCCCTGCCAAGCCCCATGTTCAAGGTGTAGAGTTTCTCCTGCCAACTGATGGCCTCACAGACACCCCTGCCAGCACAGCGGCAGCTCAGTGACTGCACCCCATGCCTAGAGTCATGGAGACCATCAGCAGTTGCCAGGGAAACATCTCTGAACCCTGCTGTACGTGACAAAAAAACAAGTTTCACAGCTCCTCAGTTTTAAAACAGCATCTATTGCTTCCACTGTCTACCACAAGAACAAGTCCCTTCCCCAAAGGAAGGGCACAAGGTGACTGACAACAGCCACCCCCACTGCAACCCTAAACTGCTGTGTCCAACGTCCCTGCTGGCTCGCTGCCCTGCATCTCTGCCCAGCCCCATGCTTGCAGTCTGGTACAGGGCTCTAAGACAGTAAGCTGCCCAGAACAGTGGGTGTGGCCACAGAGCCGTCTCTGAAGTGCCACACTGTGCTGGAACAAGATACTTTTGTTTGGGGCCTTAAATCTGTTCACTCAAAGTACCTTTTCCAAGACTTTCTGCTCCCAGCTGGCCAGCAGGTCCTGAACACTGCTGGGTGCATGTCACTCCCAACAGCCACCCTTGCAGGAATCCCAAGGGGAAAAGATTTAGGCAGGACAAGGAGGAGCTAGCCACCTTTACACAAGGAACTGTAGCAGGCCCTCCCAGGGGACTTGCACATGACACAAGAGGCTAGAAAGGCTCCTGGGGCCAGGCCTGTGGGGGCCAAGCCCAGGTTGGCACTGGGAACTCTTCAAACACAGCATGCAGCTGAACCATGACTGACTTGAAAGCTACAAACCACCAGCCAAAGCACCTGGCTCATCTCCCCCTGACCTATGGTGTTATCACTTTGCTTTTAAAACCACCTACCAGGACAGTCCCTTGAATGGCCACGAGTGAAGGAAGGGCTGCCTCAATCACTCTGGGGCTTTACCGCGCCTGTGCCAGAGCCCTTCCACTCCCACCCACATGTGGTCTTACCGTGTAGATAGCCAAGAGTGCCAACTGGTTGTACGGACGGCCATTTTTGGGGGCAATCTGTTGAGCCTTCAGATACCAGCTGAGGAGGGGAGACAAGACACAGCAGGTTACAGACAATGCTTCAGTGCCCCCTATCCTTGTTAACAAAAAGGGGTCGTCCCCTGCCCCTGGCATGCTGGCGGGAGCAGGATCTCTGCACGAGTGCCTCTGGCTGTTGGGTTTGGGCACAGCCAGCATATCTGCCTGTTACTACAGTCCTTGTGGGACCTGCAGTCTCCACACAGGGCTTGTGATGGAGAAGGGCTGGATGACTTCAGGCCATGTTACTGCCTGAGAGAGACCACAAAACAATGCTCCTGCCTCAGTATGGAAGTGACTAAGGGGTGCAGTGAAAGCCCAAGGGAAGTCTCTCCTGGCCCCCAGAAGGAGCACGCAAAGACAACTAGAAAAGGCTACAAAGGTGGAAAGGAGTTTCCTGCCCACTTCCAGCATGTTCCCACTGATGCCTGGGACCATGCACTTGTGTTGACTTGCTTACATTAGATCTATGCGATGTAAAAGCCACCCCCCTACGGAAAGGGACCTGCATGGTGGATAGTTAATCCTACTCTTTCCTTTCCCTGGCCAGCATACCTGCTCCCCAGTCCTCATCCCTCCCCATGTCTCAGTCACAGACAAGAAGTGGGCTCTGCCTTCCATTTAGCCATGGATAAGCCAAAGGCATTTATCAGACAAAATATGAGTGACAAGAGGCAACAGGTGCCACCAAGTTTAGCTGCAGCCGGAACATATGGCTCGATGCGAGACGCTCGTCAGGCAAGCACTGCCAGCAGAAGCTCAGCAGAAAAGACAACTGCTACCCTGTCAGACCCAACACTCTGCACTGCCAGCTGCACAGCTTGGCTTCCACCTCAGCCCTTGCCCAAGAGCTTGTTCCTAGGGCGGCAGTGACACAAAGGGCAGTGTGGAAAGTTAGCGCTGGCCAGAGGCAGGTCTCGTGGTGATGTAAGATGCCTCCCTTGCAGCCAGCAGTGTACGAGCTCTATGCAGGGCTGAGGAAGAGGGGACGGTACCTGCGCGCTTTCCCGTAGTTTGCCGTGTCATTCGCTTGCTCTCGGTACCTGCAAATGTCCCCTTGACAAATCATGCACCTCTGGGCACTGATCAGCGCGTACTTCACCTGGAAAAGAGTCACTCGGTGTCGCACGTGGGAGCTCTGCAGCTGCTGCCAGCCTGCACGTGTGCTCCAGGAGGAGGGGGCTGCCTGGATGGGGCTCACCAACCGGTGCTTCAAGGAAACTTACTTACTCTTGCCACAAGCTCAGCTTGGATAGGGCTGGCACAAATTGCTCTACCCATTCCCCTGACCCCTGCAAAATGCCCCATGCCTGTTGTGGGGGAATAGTGGAACTCAAGTTCCACAGCCCACTCCCTCTGAGACAGTCTATGAGGGGGCCTGTTGCAGTGGACCCATCTACCCACTCACTTGGCAACCCCCCAGCCGGAGATGACAGGATACCAAGTCTCATGGGAGTCACAACTATTCTATTTCTCCCTTCACTGGCCTGGCTCCATGGCAGAAGCAAAGAGAAGACTCAAGAAACAAGGTGCAGGACATGGTTTTCTAACACAGCCTCCCTCTCCTTGTCTTCAAGGATGGAAGCATGCCAAGTTGTTCTCTTTTTAAGCCTTCAAAAATGTATTACACACAGGAATGGATTTGCCGCAAGTCTGCAGCACTGCTGAGGAAGTATCCCTGAGCATATGCTGCCATTTGGCTGAACAGTCACCCACCTCCTCAGGATGCCACAGTAATTACCCCATCAGTGCAAAGAGCTCCGGCCTCTGTCTGACAGCCAGTCCTGGGAGGGAAGCCCACTTACCATCTTCCGCAGGGGCTTGCTGCGAATGGCCATCCCATCCATATAATCCTCCAGCTTGAACTGGTACGAGACCTGCAGGTTCTGCAGCAAGCTGTCAAAGAAAACAGTGCCCTGCAACAAGCAAACAGCTGGCTGTAACTACCTCGGTCAACACATGCACAAGACCTGCTGCCCCACCTGCGAGGCGGGAGAAGGAAGCACCAGGGTTCTGTTGGGCTTTAGTTACCTTTCTCTAGGATCCATTCCCCACAGATCAAGCTATCCCATGCCTAAGGTGCCACCCTGCCCTGCCTTCTGCCATGCCTTTGGGAGGTACAGCATAATTATCCCAGTGACAGGAGAGAAAGCTACACATAAAACCACAAGAGTTAACCCACAGGTAAGACTGTAAGCACTGGTGCAAAGGACTTGCATGGGTGCTCATTTACTTCTGTTTAAACCGACTTCCAACTGCTTTAAGTCAAAGCAAACAGGGTGGGATTACATTGCACCATCACAACTAAGCATGTCCTTTTTAACTAGCCACTGTAACAGCATAGCTACAACTCTCCCATGCAGACAGAACCTAAAGAACACAGGAAGGCCCTGCCCACAGTCACAGAGAGATGCTGGCAAAGCTGGGAAAGTCACTGAGCTGTATGGACTGGTGCTGACCTCTGCACCAAGCCTCTTTTCAAAGCTGCAGCCAGCTCAGAGGCATTCCTTCCCTTACCTCATCCAGAAGCTGAAGCAGCTTGTTCCGAATTTCGTGGGCATTCTCCCCCAGAGGGTCCTTGAGGAGCTGCCGGAATTTCTCAATCACCTGGTAAAAGGCGTTCTTCCACAGAAGCTGATCCACGTTCTGGTTATCAGAGAACTCTATGTCCATCAGGATGCATCGCTCATACAGCTGCAGCATCTCTGCTCTGCAACAAGACACAGGCAAAAGCTGACACAACAGCAACTGAACAGCAAGCGCAAGCGCAGGGAACATCTGCTGCTCCCCAGCCAACATTGGAAGAAAATGCCAGCAATGTCTCACACGCCAGGAGATGGCAAATGAATCTCAATGTGTGCGACTGCAGGGAGCTGTTAACTGCTGCCATCACAGAGCCCCCTCCCCACCTTTTAGTTCACGAGGCAAGTCTGAGGAGCTCCGCTCTGCACAGGGGCAGGGCGGTGGCGCTGCTACTGCCACCTTCCCTTGCAGAGATCTCCCGAGAGTACCGAACCAAAGGAAAGCACAGACTCCAATGATGATGCAAAGCACAGATGCACCTTCACCTTTCCCAACTGCTCCTTCTGCGCACCAAATCTCTGTGTGGAGGCCAAGAAAGAGCACACAGGGCAAGTACCTGGCAAGGAAAGATCCCGCCATGGAAAGGATGCTCTTGCTCTCTCCTCCACCCAACAAAAATAAGGGCTCCTCTCTGTTCAGAAATAGCAGCCTGCTGGTCTACCCTCCTCTCTGATTACTGAGGTCCATTAGCATGACACTTCCCCAGCTTAAATCATTCAGAGCGCAAAGGAAGGAAGAGAGAGGGAGAGAGTCACTAAGTCAGTGAAATCAGGTTTCTCTCTCAGGGCCAGGGCAAAATGACATCCTATGCTACACTCCCAGAGCTGTGGCCAGCTAGGGTAGAAATGCCTCCAGAGTCCTAAGAAAGGAGTCCCCTGCCCAAGGTAGACTACTGTCAGCAAGGTTTCCCAGATCCCTTCAGCTGGCCTGACAACATATCAGGTGTGGCTGTCTCAGGAACAGCCCTCTGACATACCAGGACATCTAGCAGGGTCTGCAGAAAAATGCAGCCAAGGCCTGTCACTCCCAGCACGGAGCTTGGACTGTGAGAGTCCACAAGGCATATAACAGGTCCCGAAACTAATTCACGCACTGGACGTGCTGTCACCCGGCTGTGAAAATAAGTCTCTGAAGAAGTCCTGAGTGAGGAGGTCATGAATACAGAAGCCACTGCCATTATCAAGCTAACAACCACAGCAGGGTACCAATTTAATATCTTCCTTCCTCTGCGGCATCATCAAGCCATTCCCACAGGAAGACTGGAGGGCACAGAGTTTAACAGTGTCAGCAGCAAGAGAACCTACTTAGCTCTAAAGCTGCCAGTGTTTTTACATGGTTATGACACCATAAATCTGCAAGGCACTTCTCAGAAGTGATGCCAGGCTGCCACCCCTGCCTGAAGATGCTTGCAGCCCACATTAGACAGGAGTTTAGGTAACAGAGATAGAACAGGATGAGACAGCCCTATGCACAGTGCTCGGAGCAAGTCCAGGCTGCAGACAGACCCCAGGGTACAGCAGGACAGTTGCTGCGGAGGAACGCAGGAGCTCCAGGGCCTGGAGCCACCTGGCTCCCAGCTACAACTACAGCATGGAGAACTCAAGAGCCAGAGCAGGTGTAGGCTCCTCCTGAGCTGCTCCTTCCACCCAGCACTGATATTCTGTAACAAGATGCTGCAGCTCTGCCTGAGGCCAGGGAGCTGCTGCCTTTAACTCAGCAGGGGCAGGCCACTGTGCTTGTTCACAGGTCGCTTCTGCAAAGCCAATGCCTCCCTCAGGCTCTTCTTCACTCACTGTTACACATGACCCCGTGGCACATGGCACATGCATACGAGGCTGGTCACAACCAAGGCAGCCACCTGCTCCTTAGCCCCAGCTCAAGAAGCCTCTGTGGTGTTGCTGGGCAGTGGCCTAACCATTCCTGCTAGACAATTATCCAAGAACGGGCAATATTCCTGCAAAACTCTTCCCGGCAGGAATGCCTCCCACCACCCCGGCCCAACCCCGACAGCACAGCCCAAAGCAAAAGCCGCCAACCTCAGCTGTGTCATCTTCTCAAGCCCCTCAGGGCTGATCCGGTCTCTGGACAGCAGGTTGCTGAGCTGCTGCTCCTGGTTCCCGGCCTCTCGAAGGAGTTTGCTGAGCTCCTGCTGCTGCATGTTCCGCATTTGCTGCTCCAGTTCAGGACTCAGGGGGGTGGACGGGAGTGGGTTGCAGATGTACTGCCCTGACTGCCCTGGATACCCAGGATAGTAAGCACCTGGGTACACACCATTGCTGGGGCTCATTTGATACTGCAGTGGGTATCCTCCATAGGGATACTGGGCCCCCGGGCCTGTGGGCCTTGGGTAATAGTAGGGATTGTCTGAGTTCTGAAACTTGTAGTAGGAGGCCTGTGACTGGCGTGTTTCTCCCCAGGAAGTGGGGCTCACTTCATCATCCGTGTCCAGGAAGTGGAGCTGAGAGGCCTGATTCTTCAGAGCCGGCTTCTGGTCAGGGTTGTTTGGATCCCACAACCTGCGGGTAGTGCCACCACGGCCTCTGCCCCTGGGCGCCTTGCTGCCCCCACCGCCAAGCAGGAGCCTAGGCCCCAAGTGCATGGATTCAGGGGATCCTGCAGCGCTGGCGGAGAGGTCCGTGTTGGCAGGCAGGACAAGAATCCCCCGGCCTCTCCCGTGAGGGTCCCTGCTCTGGCCTCTGCCCTCCACAGCCTCCGTGGAGTCACTCACGTTAACACAGCCCTTTGGGGGTCTTTTCTTGCCGTTTTCCAACATGCAGATGTCCCTGCTCATGGTCCAGCTGTCAAAGGTGACGCGCAAAGCGCCCTTGGCTTCTTTACCATTGCTGCTCCACTCGCTCTCAGAAGCTCGGCTCTGCTCCAGGCGCTTCCTCCTCTCCAAGCTCCTGCCAAGGCCATAGGCTTCCACCTTATCCATTCGGTCATCATCCAGGGAGTCTGTGGAGGAAGCAGATGGCTGCTTCTTAGGACGGAGCCGCTCCTTTGCTCGCTCCTGCTGTTTCTTCCCCACCTCAGCCAGGGAGGCTCCATCTGTGCTGTTGTTGCTTCCAGCAGAGCTTGTGCTGCAGGTGCGGTACCGGCTCCTGCGTTTGTCTGAGCGGGAGTACCTCTTGGTGGAGGCGAGCTTTCCCTGTGGCAGGTCACTGCTTGCCTTCCTTGCCCTGTCACCCCGTTCCATCCTCCTGCCTTTCTCTCCCTTGGCAGTTTTTGCCCCCTCACTGGTCAGGCTTCCCTCTCTTTCCTCTCTGCTCTGTTTATTTCTGCTGCTGCCACTAGTGCCTTTCCCAGGGTCCCTTTCAGTCTCTTCTCCCTCAACTCTCAGCTGCTCCATCTTATTGATGACCTCTTCGCTGGATGGCCGGGGGGTCGGCTCCTTGGTGACAGACTGCAGGCGCTTCCCAGGCTGATAGATCTGCTGGTCTGGCTTCTTGGTTCTTCTGCTGACCTTGGAGCACCCCTCCTCCAAGGCAGAGCGTTTAGACAAGCTCTCCTGGCTCTGAACAAGCCCTTTACTTTCCATCTCTCCATCTCCCTGAGAGGGGCCATTCTGCCTCTGGCTGTCACCTTTGCTGAGATCCTCAGCAACCCGAGATCCCCCCGCAGCAACAGAAGGATCTTTGTCACCGGCAGTTTCATCCTTGGCTTCCTCAGCTCTGCTCCCTTCGCACCCTGGCGCTTCCTGTTTCAGAAGCAAGTGCTTGTTCCTTAGCCGGGAAAGACCCGGCTTGTAGATTTCCAGGTCTGGGCGCCTGTTATCTTTTCGATGCCTGGGCTCCTTTAGCTCTTTCGTGTTCTCTGGAAAGGAAACAGAAAAAGAAGGGGGTTATTCCCATTCTGGTGCATGATATGAGAGCTAACATTTACAGGAGCTCAGAGGCTCCAAGAGGAACAGGCATTTTAAAATTAATATAAGCAAGGCCGAAATTTGCTGTTTGGGCACTATGTGAAGTCACAGAATGGGGCGAGAAATGGAGATGAGATGGAGGCAACACCCAGCCCTGAGCCAAGAGCTTTCTTCACCGGCTGCTCCACATGCACACAAACAAAACCCTTGCCTCCGGGAACCTATAAGTTGAAAAACAGATGCAGAAAAGGCAAGATGTACAGGGGTGTTCACAGCAGACTGCAGGCTACAAGGATTTTTTGCTGCTATTCTCCTGATTTTAGTCTCAGCTCCCCTGTCTGCCCACTGCTGGCATTCCCCCTTGCAGCGCCTGGCTCCTGCGGCTGCCTCCCTGCCTGGCACACAGCAACTAAAATCAAATTTGCTACCAAGATTTCTTCCCTACCCCTTGCCCTAAAGTAACTTCTTCTACAGAAAAACAAACACTACACAGAAATGAAGACTTCCCATGCAGCCAAGCCATGACAACTTCCCTAGAGAATCAATTTCTTGTCTTGGGGTTTCACGCCACTTTGCAGTACGGCCTTTCTACATCATGTCAGGCAACTACCACTAAGTACTCAGCAGAGAGAATCACTGGGAAGCAGGAACACACCTGTCCAGGATGCACGCATCCTGGAGACTGCGCCTCCCCTCGCACTACGCCACCCCGCGACAACCGAAGACACCACACAAACGGTTCTGAGGTCTGTCATTAGAACCCTGGGGCGGGCTGCAGCCATGACAACAGAGCCCTCCCAGGGGATGGCCTCCCCATGGGGACCACAGATGGGGCCACGTGGGGATGTGGGGACCACAGACGGGGCCACGTGGGGCCATGGGGACTATATATGGGACCTTGTGGGGATTAGACATGGAACCAACCACATGGGGATGTGGGGACTATAGACGGGGCCACGTGGGGCATGGGGACTATATATGGGGCCATGTGGGGATTATACACGGGGCCATGTGAGGACTATATGCAGGGCCACATGTAGGTTACACAGGCAGGACCAGGGCAGAGTCATTTTACCGCACAACCCTTGATTTTAGAACGACAGCTTCAGCCATCTCCCCTCCCCAGAGGTGCGGACCCCCGCACTAAGCTGCAGACGCAGCTCTACTCCCACGGCACCACCACGATGCCACTTGGCTTTAAAGTGCCTGAACTGTGCGTCCTGGAGTACTGCGTCCAGTTCTGGGCGCCACACTTCAACAAGGATGTGGAAAAGCTCGAGACAGAGTCCAGAGACAGGCCCCCGTATGCTCAGAGACGTGCGTGGCAAGCCATGCGACGTAAAAGCTCTTCAGCCTAAAAGAAAGGAGGCTGAGAGGGGCCGTGGCAGCAGCTTTGTGCTACACGCAGGGAATGCATCCAGGGCTCGGTCTGTTCGTCTGGGGGAAACCAGGAGCAATGGCCACAAGCTCCCGGGACAGCGAATCAAGCTCAACACTGGGAACAGGACCTGGGTAGCTGGGAGACACTGTCCCTGCAGAGGCGATGCGGTTGCTGCCCCGGAGATGTGCCAGAGGAGCTGGACGGTCTCCTCGCCGGGGTCACTCGGCCCCACTGGTCTTCCCTGCCCGGGGTGGGGGGGGG